AAATCTTACTTTTGTCCATAGGTTGTTGCTCTTGTTACTCTCTGCGTCAAATGTATTTAATCTTCTTAACATATACTGCTTACTTCACTTCTATTAAACATCTTAAAGTGAATATTTATAAAGGAAGTTGGTAATGTAGGGCAATGAAACAATATAACCTGTAAAGGGATGCAAAGCAAACAAAAACATTTCACTATGTAATCAGTTCCATCAAAATATCAAATGCAAGGGATTTATTTCTCATTCAAGAATGCAATTCATTCCTTTATCTCCTAGTGGTTATCACTACATTAAAAAAACCCTGAAATATGCCATTTATCCAACTGCATGCAACTGTCCTGTTCTTGTTAGCTTTTATCAGTGCAATCTATGGATACTTTAGTCAATGTGGAGGGAGTAACAGGAAAAAATATAATATATAACTCTCTGATGAAGTGGTCAAAAACAAACAAACATTTTTTCTCAATTCATAATTCTAAAATAATGACCATCAACCATGCAGATATCTGCAGTAGACTAGTGATGTTGAATAAAAGCTTCTATTTTTTTTCCTAGTTGCAAGGAGACCAAAGTGCGTACATCACTGTTCCTGAGTACACATCAACCTGCTATAAGCCTGCAGCTGTGTACTGCGGAAGGGGGTGACTCCAGGCAGATCCAGAAATGAGCTGACATCTGAACAGAGGGACCCTTGTTACTGTATCATGGGCACTGGTGAGAGGACACTGCTGCCATTAACCTGTTGCTTCTAGCAGAGACTGAGCACATAGGGACTGGCCATCCAACTAGCAGCATAATTTACTGAATACAGACTTTATTGGGACTGTGCTCATGTGCACCACTGTAAGGACTGGGTCCCAATGCTAGCCAGCTCAAGAACAAGGGCTAAAGACTGCTCACTCAGATAGCTACTTCACTAAAACTAAGCCTATTGTCCATAGTAAGAGGTACCCCTTTAGGGATTTTTAAATTTCATTGTTGCCATTCATATAGAGTGCACGCTAAAGTGAATATAGCTTACTGTATACAGAGGAGTTATCACAGTATCGATTATCATTGCTGTTACCATTTTCTAATGCCAGTACTTATTGCTGATTTTGTGGATTATGAGGTTTAATCTAATTAGCTGCATAGAACTTCATTCTATGCTTCTATAACTTAATGAACATATTATCTTGTGAACTGTGATTGATTTGTGAATTGTGAAAATATATTGGATTCATTCACCACTAACCAGTCTGGTGTTTGCTTTTGATACTGAACCTTAATGTGTGAAAGGTATCTATATTTCTGCTCCCAGTAGCTAGACAGTATCCATGTGCCTTATCTGGCGTGTCAGTAGGGCTGTTTTTACCAAAGTTGAGGCAGAAGAATGGAGAACCCAATCTTCCAATTGGCTCCTGCAATGGCAGCACTACACTAGCAACTCCAATACCAGTCCTGGATGCAAAAGATGAAAGGTAAATACATTTTGTTTTAAAGCCGAACTCCAGGCGCACAAACTTTCATTTACATATACATTATTACTATATATAGCCACAAAGGGTATAAGACCAGTTTGTATCAAAAACCTTTGCAAAGCCAGACTTTACCCTATAATGGTAGAAGTGACAACATCACTGTGCTGTACATAGCCTGTGCCAGAGCTAAGGTAGGCACCCAGCAGGCCCCATTCACTATACTCTGCCTTCAGAAAACTACAGGAGTGGGCAGATACAAGACCAGTCACCTTGCACAAGGGAGCAGTAGTGACTAGTCCTATTACAGAAAATACATTACATACTTTACATATACAAGTCTATATATTCTGGCCAAGTATCTCTTCAATACACGCACATTTCCCCATGTTCATTCTCTGTAAATATTCAAAATGCAGAAAATTACCTGTTCATTTGTCAGAAATCCAGTAAAATCCTAATTTTGACTGACAACGTTTTCATTCTGCTGCACTGAAATGCCAAGTGGTGCTGTCACCCCTGCCTAAGTTTTGCTCTACTGACCGGCAGAACTGTACATATCCCTTTCTTCTCTATCCTTGTCCTATCATTGTCTCTATTGTTGTCCACATGCATATATATGTCAGCACCTATGGTAGTGAGCCCTTGTAGATACTCAACTTGGGGTTCCCCAGGGCGCGGAGTTAAAACCCCAGCATGCTTCTTCACCAGAGCCCCTGATGGTGGGGATGGAATTGCAGCAAGCTGGGACCAGGTCGCGGCCCCCAGGTACGCACAGCTGAGGATGAGGAGACCGCTCACGGGAGCAGAGTACAATGGGTGGAGACAAACGGAAATCCGATAGACTAGCTGAGGTCAGGACAGGCGGAAAACAAGCACAGTCAGAGAACGAAGCCGGGGTTAGTACACAAGTAGTCAATGCAGGATACAGGCAATAGCAAAACACACAGCAGTTCAGACAACTAGGAAGTTGCTCAGGCAAAGTAGCCTAGACTGAGCAAGTCTTATATAGGCAGGCAAAAAAGGAGGCGGGCCAGGAAGTGATGTAAGGGAAGGAAATAAAACCCAGAGAACAGCAGACGATGCCCATAGGTGAGCACAGACAAACACACATGTGAAAGGGATCAGGAACAGCATAGCAGCAAGGAGGTAAAAATACACAAACAAGAAACTGCAGGCTAACTTGTGACAATATATATATACTGTATATATATATATATTTTTTTTTTCTTCCCCAGCCAAACAATGCTGCTGCCTTGACTCCCAAGATTCTGTCCACACACTGTGTATAGTGAAAGGGTCAACAGGTATCTTTTTGTACTGTGTAGAATTTCTAAAGAGACACATCATATGGAAATGTGCATGTATTGCAGAGATGTAGTGTGTGTGTTTTTTTTTTTTGCCTTTCTCAATCAGGATTCTGTAGAACCCCAGTTTCCTCCAGAGGTTGCTATTTTGCAAAAAACAATTTGTGCCTCTTGGATAATTTTCATTGAGATCAATGATATTTTTAGTTATCTGTAAGGGGGTAATTCTACTTATTGACCACAAGTGTAAGGAGCATTCCCCCTTTTGACCAGGGGTGTGAGTAGCATACTTTCCTTTTGACCACCAGAATAAGGAGCATTCTTCCCACTGACCACAAGTGTAAGAAGCTTTCTTCCCAATTACCACAAGTGTAAGAAGCATTCTGCCCAATGGCCACAAGTGTAAGAAGCATTCTGCCCATTGGCCACAAGTATAAGAAGCTTTCTTCCCACTGACCACAATTGTAAGAAGAATTCTTCCCAATGACCACAAGTGTAAGGAGCATTCTTCCCAATGACCAGGGGTGTAAGCAGCATTCTTCCCCTTGACCACCAGCATAAGGAGCATTCTTCCCACTGACCACAAGTACAAGGGGAATTCTTCCCAAAAACCACAAATGTAAGAAGCTTTCTTCCCAATTACCACAAGTGTAAGAAGCATTCTTCCCAGTAACCACAAGTGTAACCACAAGTGTAAGAAGCTTTCTTCCCAATTACCACAAGTGTAAGAAGCATTCTGCCCAATGGCCACAAGTGTAAGAAGCTTTCTTCCCACTGACAGCAAGTGTACGGAGCTTTCTTTTCCATTGACCACAAGTGGAAGTAAGCATTCCTCCCATTGATCACAAGTGTAAGGGGCATTCTTCCCACTGACCAAAATTGTAAGGAGAATTCTTCCCAATGACCAAAAGTGTAAGGAGTATTCTTCCCAATGACCTCAAGTGTAAAGAGCATTCTTCCCAATGACGACAAGTGTAAGAAGCATTCTGCCCTTCTGTCAATGGTCACAAATGTAAGAAGCTTTCTTCTCACTAACAATAAGTGTAAGAAGTTTCTTCCCAATGACCACAAGTGGAAGTAAGCATTCCTCCAGATGATCTCAAATGTAAGCAGCATTATTCCCAGTGACCATGAATGTAAGGGGCATTCTTCACAATGACCACATGTGTAAGAAGCATTCTTTCCAATGTCCACAAGTGAAGGAAGCATTATTCCCATTGACCACAAGTTTAAGGGGCATTCTTCCTACTGACCGCAGTTGTAAGAAGCATTCTTACTAATGACCATAAGTTTAAAGAGCATTCTTCCAAATGACCTCAAGTGTAGTAAGCATTTTTCCCATTGTTCACAAGTGTAAGGAACGTTCTTCCCAGTGACCACAAGTATATGAAGCATTCTTTCCATTTATCACAAGTGTAAGGAAGGACCATTCTTCCCAATAACCATGTGTATCAGGAGCATTAATCGCACACACTAACATACTAGGAACTATATGTAAGGTCATTATTGACAGGGGATCCCTGAGATAAGAACGTTATTTCAAGGGTTCCTCTATGTTAATAAAATTAAGAAAAACTACTCTAAGGAGACCTTGCGCTAGGTTGATGTATGATCATATGATAGCCAGCAGGGAGAGGGGATGCATTTACAATTTGCACTAGACACCAGTAGACATACACTATATTGCCAAAAGTATTGGGACGCCTGCCTTTACATGCACATTTACTGCACTTTAATAGCGTCCCAGTCTTAGTCCAAAGGGATCAATATTGAGTTGGCCCACCTTTTGCAGCTATAACAGCTTCAACTCTTCTGGGAAGTCTGTCCATAAGGTTTAGAAGTGTGTCTATGGGAATGTTTGACCATTGTTCCAGAAGCGCATTTGTGAGATCAGGCACTGATATCGGATGAGAAGGCCTGGCTTGCAGTCTCCGCTCTAATTCATCAAAAAGATGTTCTATCGGGTTGAGGTCAGGACTCTGTGCAGGCCAGTCCAATCAAGTTCCTCCACCCCAAACTCGCTCATCCATGTCTTTATGGACCTTGCTTTGTTCACTGGTGTGCAGTCATGTTGAAATAGTAACTGGCCATCCCCAAACTGTTCCCACAAAGCTGGGAGTATGAAATTATCCAAAATGTTTTGGCATGCTGATGTCTTAAGAAATCCCTTCATTGGAACTAAGGGGCCAAGCCCAAACCCTGAAAAACAACCCCACACCATATTCCCCCCCCCACCAAACTTTACACTTGGCACAATGCAGTCAGGCAAATACCGTTCTCCTGGCAACTGCTAAACCCAGACACGTCCATCGATTGCCAGACAGAGAAGCGCGATTTCTCACTCCAGAGAACACGTCTTCACGGCACTAAAGTCCAGTAGCAGCATGCTTTACACCACTGCATCCGATGGTTTGCATTGCACTTGGTGATAAATGGCTTGCATGCAGCTGCTCAGCCATGGAAACTCATTCCATGAAGCTCTCTGCACACTGTTATTGTGTGCTAATCTGAAGGCCACATGAAGTTTGAAGGTCTTTAGCTATTGACTCTGCTGACAGTTGGCGACTTCTGCGCACTCTGTGCTTCAGCATGCACTGACCTCGCTCTGTCATTTTATGCGGCCTACCACTTTGTGGTTGAATTGCTGTTTCTTCCAGTTGCTTCCACTTTGTTATAATACCATTAACAAAATTTAGTAGCAAGACAATTTCACGGATGGACCTATTGCACAGGTGGCAACCTATCACAATGCCACGCTTGAATTCACTGAGCTCCTGAAAGCAACCTGTTCTTTCACAAATGTTTGTAGAAGCAGTCTGCATGCCTAGGTGCTTGATTTTATACACCTGTGGCCATGGAGGTGATTGGAAAACCTGAATCCAATGATTTGGAGTGGTGTCCCAATACTTTTAGCAGTATAGTGTACATTCCACATATGTCATTGAAACGTTCTTCTTGTACAGTACTAATGTAGACAGATGCCACTGCTTTGTGTTCATTTGTTTTAATATACAAGCTGTATTTCTCTTAACAATTCTATAACAGAGTCTTTTTGATGCACTGTCACATAAAGCAAAGTATGAGACAAATAACGCTGGTTCTGTTTCTTAGTTAGACTTTGTCTGCCTTAATGCTCCGTGACTGGCATAATATACTGCTTTCAAGTGAATTTATAACACTTGCAGATGCAGTGACAAGTGCATATAAATATGTAGATGTTATGGTAATTCACATTTATTATTTACTGTGTGTAATTACTCAGTTCCATCATTTCTAGTCAGCAGAGACTACTCCCACCAGTCAGCAATACAATAATATGTTTGCATGCTGTGGGCCTTTTTTATGCATGATACTTGTAGTGATTTACTGTCACCTGGGTGCTGCTGATTTATGCTTCCGCATGGTCTCTGTGTATTTCATTTTTTTAAAGTCATATATATTGTCCCTATTAGGCTCTGTTGTTTTTCTTGCTTTGATCATCTCATAAACAAATTTTTTACTGTTATTGTTGTAAATAAAGTGGGCACATTTCAGTTCAATAAAGGATCACTCCAACCAAAAAATGGTATGACAGATATGGGTGTATTGTGGTGGGCAGAGACCATTAAATCCTATGGAGCTCTTCACATCAGTTAGTTGTGGACCAGTTGTGTTTTTAAAACTTCTGCATGCTACATTTTAGGTGAATGTTTGGTGCCGTGAAAAAACTGCACCAAAAATGTACCTCCCCATTGAAATGAGTGGAAAACATATCAAAAGCATGTCAAAAATGCATCAGAGTCACATCATTTTTTTATAGGTGCAAAATGCACCAGTAACCCATCAAAAATGCAAATAATCTTTTACCCTGTTTTTGCAAAGGAGAAGTGTGAAAGCAAACTTAAGGGGTATTTATAAAAAATGACAAATATATACTAGTTCACTCTGGTCTGTGTCTGCCTTTCTTTTGTAGGGTAACTGGACCCATTATAAAATGAAAGTATACAAAAACAGTAACTCATTACCACCAAGTGTAAACATATATGCAGAGTCACAGAGGTGGGGCTTAATCTGTGGGGTCTTAATATGCTCTACTGTGTTTGTATCGGGAGACCAGGCTGTTACTGACAACTCTGAGTCTCGTACTATTGATCAGGAACTGGGAGGACAGGTACCTTGATCACCGTGATAGTCTGTGATTGGCTATCACAGTGATCAGTCCCTGTAAAGCCCACCCAGGTGTTTTCACACTTTCCTCTTGTATCTTTTTTTCCTTGTAAGAGGAGAAAATTGTAAAAATTAAAAATATACCTACAGCAGGTTTGATCAAAGTCTGGGTCAAAGGTCAGGGTCAGTGTATTTTAAGTAGGGTTTAAAAAAAAAAAAAGTTTAATCTAGTATCAGTGTCATTTAGGTTCCGTGTCAGTGTGTTTTAGGTAGGGTTCAAAAAAGCAAAATGTGCACTATTGTTTCAGGGCTCTACTACTGGTACATACAACAAATAATATACACATACTTTTCCACAATTTTGTTCTCAAATCCTCAGAAAGTTCTTTACTGTTCTCTCTTCTCCATGCTCCATGAGACACACAACAGAAAGGTTGAGTCAATTTTTCACCATTTTAACTGGTTGCCAGTGTGATTTCTATATTGCCAGAACCTGTTAATTGGAACAGGTGAGCTTATTTACAAATTACATGAGCATCATAAACTTGGAATGCAATTATTTCTTACAATTTTGAGACGCTGCCAATAATTATGTCCAGTCCACTTTTGGGGTTTTGCATGGAATGTGTCAGATTTGGCTTTTCATTTCTACACTTTTTTGTGTCATACCAATACAAACAAAAGATATAAACATGAGAATGCCTAAACATTTGTAATTGCAACAATTTTCTGGGCAAAGTGGTGCATTATCTAACAGAAATGCAGGGGTGACAATATTTTTGGCCATGGCTGTACGTCGTATCACTGCGATCATTAGGAGCCTTTCTTTTGGATTGTTCTTTGGTAGTAGGTCATGGTAATAGCAAAAAATATACTGCTAAATTTTATATAATGTATATATAAATTATATTTTGTTACTATTGTGTGCTACATTTTCTTTGATAATAACCCCCCCTCCCTCAAAAATATCTATTACTATTTCCCAATAAATGAAAGCCCAATTTGTCTCGGAAATAACAAGGTATAATTCACCTGGATGCCATAAGTAGTTGCAATGATAGGTACAGTTTTACAAACATTATGTCAAAGTTGCAAAACTTTGTTCAGGCATTAAGATTTGTTTTAGCTTCTTCATGAAGGAGTTAACAATGGCCTTTTCTATTTTGCCCCATTTTGGTTTGTTAAATGCAGAATCAAGAGTTTTATTTTATATCTGTTCAATAAGTGCTACAAATTCCCATTGATCCTGCCACAAGTCATCCCTCAAAAAAGTTTAACCGGAAGCATATTCGGGATACAGAACACTTACAGAGGTGAGATTGGGGAGAGGTGTTCTGTTGTTCTAGCAAACTTCCTGTCCTAAAGGTGACAATACCGCTCCTCCATAGATGCAGTAAAGTGAGTGTTGTCAGTCTAGTACAGGGGAAAAATCCTAGAAAATATAATAAATTCTACCACCGCATCTAGAGTCTAGTAAGATGTAATATGTAATGGGTTTAGATACTCTTTTTCATCACCTATTTAATTGCTACATGAGCCACTTTTTTAAATGTATCAAAAAAAGTGTTACTACAAAAAAGGTTTTTTTCTAGGTTTCAGATACAGTGAGGGAAGGGTTAGACCCTCTGTCTTGTTATTAGTTTGCTCGATTGCTCACCCTCTCTATTTTTCCTGGTGACCATTTTCACCATGAAAGAACATGCTGTCCCCAAAACAAGATATAAAGGGAAATCTTCCAATAGGGAAACCTATTTCAGGGACAACTGTTTAAGAGGGTGACTCCCTTCACTTTTAAAGGTTTCCTGTAACTTTATATTGTGGCTCTAGGACAGGAAGTGAAGGGTTAATTCTCCAATGGTGCACAGACAGCAAAAAATAATCTGGCAAGAGTTTTAACCCTTTTCTACTGTATTCAAAGCAAAAACAACTTTTGGTTATAGATACACAATAATGTCATTAAAGCAACCCTTTCACCACAGTAAAAGAAAGATTCTCTTTAATAGCTATGGGCATCATTGCTATCTTACAGTGTTGGAAAACTTGTCCCCACTGAGTTCTCCAGTTCTTCCAGCCAGCCTTAATGTCACTACTGTGTTCTGTAGCGAGGATTACCGCAGGAGTGAGGAACCATAGTACCCAGCAGGGGACCTGGTATTCAACATAGTAGTACTATCTATAGCTCTGGAAAACGTAATTCCATTTTCTGGAAAGTTAAATGTCAATCTTCTACAGGGTGTCTGTCAATTTACAAGACTCTACCTATTCTCAGTTGTCAGTGACTTACTTATGTCAGCAAACAAGTCTATAAACCCATAAAGGTTTCCGCTCAGAAATGGTAGCTGTATACAGCTCACAAGTCATTCAATACTCTAAAACAAGAGCTTTTATGTTCTAGGACACAAAAAATGGTAGGAAAGCAGTAAGGTCAGTCAATAAAAAAGATCATCAAACAAAGGAAAAACTCCTGATGCATAACATAGCTGAACTACCATGACACAAGCATCTTATACTCATTTCCAAATCATGGAATTCTGAAAAAGACCTATTTACTTACACTACAGTGCTACAGAGGACCATAGTCTCCTAGATTTAACTGTTTCTTTTTACAGGATAGGATGATTAATCCCATGGCCAAACCTAGCTTTCTCTGTCATTACCAAATACCCCCCTGCCCCAAGAAGAGAAGCCCTACTGATAGCTTTGGTACCACCAGTATAGTGCTTGAGACCATTTGACCAAGTAAGTCCCACCATTAGTAAGGAAGTGGTACAGAAAACAAGCTTATCCTAAAAGATGGAGGCTTGCTGTGCAGCGGGTAACTACAAAAGTTCACTGTAATCCTAGATCCTTATTCAAACCTTAAGACTTTCAGCCATCTGTATTACAGTGGTCTGTTTGCAGCTCCAATTTTGAATAGTTTAGAGAGGATTAGCAATTTTATTGCATAGGGATGAGGAAGGTTAGCGTTTCTTATTGCTGTCTTTTTGCTGCTATGATTCACTCTCCCCTATTTGATCTTGTGACCATTTTCACCAGGACAGAAGTAATCAAAACAAGAGTAGCACAGAATCTTCCAAAGGGACACATGCGAAGACAAGCTGTCTAAGGCCTGATTCATACCTGAGAGTTTTGTAGGTTGAAGCTTCAAAACAATCAACATTCAAAACCCCATAGTTTTCACACCTGAGCATAGTGTTGCTTGAAGTTTGTAGTTCAAAAAGTATATGAGCTTCTTTTGAGCTACAAGCTTCAAGCATGTTTGGCCCCAATAAACTTTAAAGGGAATGCAAGAAAAAAACACACAAAAACATTCCATTGGCTATTTTAACCCTTCCCTACAATAATTAAAACATTTGGGCTTTAGAAATACTTTTTTTTAAACATTTTTTATTTAACATTTTAAAAATCAGACAGGAATGCAGTCAGGTTGATATAACAATCCAGTCAACGGACAGGTCCATAACAAGAGCATAGACATCATGGGGGTTATTTACTAAAACCAGAGACTGCAACATCTGGTGCAGCTCTGCATAGAAACCAATCAGCTTCCAGGTTTTATTGCCAAAGCCGAATTAAACCAGCTGAAGTTAGAAGCTGATTGGTTATCATGCACAGCTGCACCAGATTCTGAGTGTGCCAGGTTTAGTAAATATCCCCTCTAGGGGCCGATTTACTAAAACTGGAGAGTGAA